GACGGATTCCATGGACGCCACAGGCGCCGCTTTATCCTCGCCCGTGTCTGCTTGGTGAAAGCCTTGGACCACAACGCGGCTCTTCAGTCGAGCAAGCTCGCCATTCTTGTACTTCCGCTTATAAAGGTACCTTGACGGGATCGGCTGGTCCTGGGCACTCGTCGGCGGCTCGACCCAGTCGTACACATCAAGGTCGACAAGCGACTGGTTTTCGTTCCGCATGGACTCTTGCCAGTCTAGAGCATCCTGCCCACGGATCGCTTCGTCGTAGCTCGAAGGGTCGGGAGCCCTGTAGCCCACTTCGCCAGGGTTGCCAGTCCCGTTGTTGCCAAGCGAGCTTCCGGTGAGCAGGGAGCGTTCCACTTGCTCGAAGGCCTCCTCCTCCGTGGCAAAGGTAAACAGGTTCAGACGTTCAGTCGGCTTGGGGTTCCTGGTGCTGCGACGGGGGCCCGGCTCTTGCGCCTGAGGCGTGGGCTCCGGCTCGTTATCCTTCTGCTCGTCTTGTGGCTCCACCACACTGTCGACGTCGTCATCAGACTCTTCCGGACCGGGATGGTAAATCATTGGAGTCTCTGGCAGCGGATCATGCCCTGCCTTGGGGGGAACCACGTCGCGCGGGGCTTTCTCGCGAATAGAAACTTCGGCGGAGTTGGTGATCTTAAACTTGTCACGAGGGGACCATAGCCTCCACGACCGGCTTTTAGGGTTGACACCGACCAGAAACATCTTCTCAGCCCTGGCAGCCAGTTTGTTGGGCCTGTCCCCCGCTTCCACGTGCTTAAAGCATACCGAACCGAATTCGCGGATGTGGTGCAAGCTGCCAAGCGGTTTGTTCTCCCATACCTCAAGTGGTGCCTTGCCGCCCAAGACGTCCGTAGGCGTGCGATTCAGTATATAGATCGCGTATTGGAACGCTTCGGCCCACAGACTCTCCGGTAGATGAGGTGCCCCAAGAAGAAGGCGCCGCGTTATGGCTGCGACCGTGCCAAAGCCACGCTCGGCGACGGCGTTGCCTTGAGGCATGTACGGGGCGTTGGTCTCGATTTTGATTCCAAGTGATGCTGCCAGCGCCGCGAACCTTCCCTTGAACTCGCCCCCTCCGTCGCAGTGTAGCGTGGTGATACACAGTCCTTCCGGGTCGGCTTCCTCCTTGACAACAGTTTCCAGCGCCTCAGCAGCTGCATCTTTGCTCTTGATGGGAAAACCAAACCTCATGCGGGTATTGTCACACGTGAACATCACCGCACCCTTGTGTCCACCGAGAGATTTTACGGAGTGCGACCAGGTGTCTACGTGCAAGAGCGCAAGACGAGTGCCGGCGCGAGGTCGGTTAGCCGGTGGGTGACTAGACTTCTTGCTGTTGCCGACAGCACATACCTCGCAGTCGCCAGACTCGATGTTTTGGTCAAATTTAACCCCAGAATGCTCCTTCCTCGCCAGCTGCTGGAGGGCGCGCGGATTACAGTGGCCCATCCTCCGGTGCCACATGTGTGCATTCACCTTCGTCTTGAGCAGCATCGCGGTCCCGTCCATCCTCATGTCGTCGAGGACAATGTTCACGCTGTACATCCGCGAAATCTCCGTGGAGATGGGGAAGGCCTGATCGCTGCTACGGAGTGCTGGAGGAGTAGACAGAAGATCGCACATCACCCCCCTTTCCTTCAGGGCTCCGACCGAGAGGATGTTCGCTCCTAGGTTGTCAACCAGTAGTACTTGTAGCTCCACCGGGACGAGTTGGTTCCGGTCGTTTGAGATGCCGAAACGCAGGATACCTTTCTGAGCCGCGCTCGACGTTCCACACGAACCTTTGATCCTCACGTTGCAGTCCGACTTCTCGGTCACGTGGCGAGATGCGTAGGAATCCGCGCTAACCATGTGGCTAGACGCTGCTGTGTCTACGAACATAATGGTGCTCCTGGCGGACTCGTCCTTAACCTGGTACACACTGGTGTAGGCAACTATATCTGTTGCATCAGCAAGCGGGTTCTGCACCTGAACGTCACTAGCAGCATCAGCAGCACGCTCCTCGGGCAGCGGCACAGCAGGGGTATCCAGCACTTGCTCATCGTCGGCAGCGCGCTCCTCTGGCAGCGCCGCGGCAGGCGCCTCCGCCACCTGCTTCTCAGCAGCAGCGCGCTCATCGGGCAGCGCCACAGCAGGCGCATCCAGCACCTGCGCATCATCAGCAGCGCACTCCTCTGGCAGCGCCGCAACAGGCGCCTCCGGCACCTCCTCCTCAGCAGCAGCGCGCTCCTCCGGCAGCGCCGCGGCAGGCATTTCCAGTGCCTGCGGATCGTAGATGACAAGACCTTCCTGCACGCCCACGGCGGCGCGCTTCTCCGGCAGCGCCGCGGCAGGCATCTCCAGTGCCTGCGGTTCTCCAAACGAGATGGAAAAGTCCTCCGGCTCACCGCTGGATTCCTCGACTCGGGTGAACCATGCCTGCGTGGACGGTTCCGGCGCGGCGGCATTCGCCTGTTGGGCGTTATCCTCTCGCACGTTCTCCAGGCGAAGGGGGCAGCCGTCCCATCCGTGCTCTGTAGAGTTGTGGCAGTACTTGCAGCGTCCCTGACGGTCTCGGCCCTTTTGGTGACTTTTGTTTCCGCCTTTATTGGACTTGTTGCCGCGGCCTCGCCCGCGCACATCTTGCGCGCCTCCAGGGCTATCGCCTCTGGAATTTCCGGCGGAGGAGCCGCTGCTGCCGTTGTCTCCGGTCGGTTGGCTGCCATTGCCTTGGCGGTTGCGTCCGCCGCGTCCGCCACGTCCGCCTTGCTTACGGAAACTACGTGCACCCCCGTGCACGACCGTGTTGTGGGCACGGCCGTGGGCAGAAACCTTCCCCCTGATCTGCAGTGTATGGTACGCGGTCGCTCGGTGCGCGACATTTTCGAAGTCAAGATCCAACTCCGAGCCATCGGCTTGTCCGCACACCAGCGCGGCCTTAAGTTGGGCGTAGTGCTGGTCAGGAAGCGCGTTCAACAAGATATGCGTCTGGCGGGCTGGTACGACCTTGTCTCCAAGTGACTCGAGTTCGGAACTGATACGACGCAAGTCTTGGATTGCACGCGCCGGGTCGTAATCGTCCTCGGCAGTGACCGCAAGTGATCCTAACTCTCGCTGCAGTTCATGCATCCGATAGGTGCCCTTCTGGCGGTACTTCGCTTCTAGGGCAACGTATGCCGCACGTCCGTCCCCATGCTCACCAACGCGAGCGGGGCCGAAGGCTCGAACGACTTGGGAAGCAGTGCTCGAGAATCCATCGGCGCAGTCGGACGTAGCAAAGTTTAACCGTGTGTACAGTTTGCCGTTCTTACGTTTGAATTCCAGCGTCGTCCTGTCGAACGCAGCACGATCCGAATCCGCGCTGCTGGCCGCCGATGCCGGGGCGGTCTCCGTCCCAGCCATGATGTCGCCTAATCCTTGCTCATCCATGATGGAGTAGAACAGGCCACTCCAGCCGTGGAAATCTTCCGGCTTCCCGCTAAACGGGACGTATCCTTGTTTCAGGTAGTTCGTGGCGGACGCCATGCTGCTGCTGGGGTGTGACTCGATGTGAATTACCTACCAAACGCTAGGCTCATGACCTGACAACAGAATTGTAGTTGCTGTTTGTTGTGTAGTTGGCAGTGGTGGCGCAGTTTGGGTAGATACAACACAGAGTGATCATTAGATCCAAAACACAGGCGCCCAAGCTGTCTTCACCTGACGGTTACAGACTTGGAGACACGCCTTCACAATACTGCACAAAACCCATGCAGTAGAATAGAGTCAGTTCTTGCATACAAATCCCAACAACTATATGCCTTTGTTGTGGCCGCTCCTATGTAAGTCGTTTTTGAGCGTTTGTTAGCATTTGGACAGCAGCAGGTGCGCGCGTATTGGTATTGTTAGACCGCACACCTCCGCTACTTGTGGCCGTAACTGCTCGTTCAGCACCCCACCAATGCCGAGAGAACCGCTCAAAATTGAACACGAGAAACTGAAGCCGCATTTTCTACGAACTTAAACACCGAGCTATCGTTGTCAAACTCTCCAGTTTGCCCAGAAGCCCCCTGCGCTGGTCACCATAGCAGCACTGTTGTCTTTTTCGGGGGAAGGTTAAACTTGTCTTGAATACGAAGCCACCACATGCAACGAAGAGTATGCTGTAAACTCACTTGGTAGGTTTTTCCCCTTGTTCCAAACTGATGCCAAGGGAAAACACCCCGTTGCCGTTCGAGTTCTCTTACCACGCCAACCCATCCCAAACGGATGCTGACACGACGTCAAAATCGTCGTCTCCATCTAAATAGGTGCGCCAGCCCCAGCGCATCAACACTGTTGGCCGCTGTCGAAAGATCAAGGCCGATGCCGAGATTCTTTCTCCGTCGGAATTCTTGTATGATTCACCAAGTAACACGATCGGCGTTTTTCACGTGTGGTTTCGTTCGGGGGACGGGACATCTCCATTGAGTTCAGGGAACGGCAACAGCGACGACACGGTGCCCCCATGGAATGGAAACCCCATGAAAGCTAATCGACAGCACAGACACGAGGAAGGAGCAGATTCAGATAGACGCCATCGTGGCGTGGCGTTTGCTTTGGCCGGCGGAAGGAAGTTCGTGTGCTCGCCAGAGGCCTTTTTTTGGCCAACCTCTGCGTCTTTCTTCTTCCGGAGCCCACACGCGCACGTAGTGTCAACGCCGAAAGTGCTGTTATTCAAACGATTTCTCTGTTGCTTCTTGTTCTTTCGAATCAAGTCTGTCTTTCTTCTGTTGCTGACGTAACGAGTCCCCCAGCCCACCCCAACCGTTCGGGTTTTGTTAGCAACGCCGACAACATTCGTCGGCTTGTTTTCAGCAACACACAGAAGCCCGCTCGGGAAGATCCGACTGACTGGCGTCGTGACTCGTGGTCGGTCCTGGAAAGAATGATCAATTTGCAATCATTTTCATTCCTGCCAGCTTCTAAATCTGCGGCGACGACAGCGTTGCTTGCGGCAAACAAAATCAAAGGTTTGTTTGTGCGCGCAACCCTTTATTGAACAAATCGAATTGAACTTCTGGTCAACAAAAAAATTTACGTCATGACCGTAGACACGCCATCACAAACAGTAAGTTATTCTCCATCGTACGCGTAAGCGCTTGTGTTTGTGTCAATCTCCTCCCCGGAGAGCTTATATTCTTACATTGCCCAAACTGTACTAATACTCGACGAAAGGTCAAAAACACTATATATACGAAAAAACAATGCACGAAAGCGAGCGTCACATCGTCCTTGCAAAAAACTTGATGAATAGCCCCGCCGCTCCACACGAGAAAATAATACTTTACTTTCGCACCTACCGTGCTTGTTATGTAGGCAGCAAAACTATTGTTTTATGCAAGGGAGACGATACCACCAGAACCAAATCCCCAGGACCTGATCGGTTGGTAGCTGCAAACACAGGGGACAGGGGGGCGCAAGGCGACTGGAACTACTTGTCAAACGTGGAGGGCCGCAAAGGCTACGAGAAAAGCACAACAAAAAAACTTTTTGCAACTACACTACTCAACAAATGACACACACAGCAATACACCGCCTGCAGCAGCAGATTGACTTCCACAGCAACACTGGAAAGCTCGGCGACCGCTGTACTTCCACAAAACAACACAAAAACACACAACAGGAGGAGGACTCCTACCGTCAGTTACACAACACGTGAGGCTAGACGAATCGTGAGGGAGAGCGTGATGCCATCTTCGGCTCTTCGCGCATCAAGTGTGCTTGAGGTACACATTCACATGTATATAATCCAAAATAACTTGTACACCAGCATCAAACGACACTCTTTGACAGCGGTCACAAGACGCAGCGCTCCATGCACGAACAATTACTCCCTACACGCTGCGGGGCAGACGCTGCTGTGTGTGGCAAGCGGGCACCCTGCTTCCTCGCTCGGGCGTGCGCTACTCGATAGGAAAACATCCAGACGACCAACACGACACGTTTGCATGAAGCGGTACAAAGCGAAGCAAGCGGTGCTTCCAACACCAAGCGCGTGTCATTCTCCACTACTCGCATCGATCAAGGTGAAAAGTCAAAGGGCGGGGGATGGGTGTGCAGGCAACACTCTATGCCGCGTACCCCCTCCCCCTCCTCTCCCAGATACACCCCGCACGCTAGTAGTATTACTACCACTGCGAGAGCCACAGCCCCCTCCCGCGCGCGACCGAAACAGACAACGCAACGCAGAGAAAAAGTTGTCCTCGGTCGAACAGGCCCATTGAGCAAAAACAAGACATGCCTGCTCGTGCCGGGATGATGGCCGAAAACACCTCTCTGGCGAAGATCAAGCCAAAAATAGCGTGGCCATCTATCTCTTCATCATCACAACCACTGCCAACACCGTCAAAGTCAGACGGCAAAAAAAAAAAAAAACACCCACGTAAGACAGACACACACAAAAAACGAAAGCGACTCGTCTGCACGATCCCCGCGCATGCCTAAGTCAAGCAGCAGCAGGTCATTTTTCGCCTCGCCTTGCGTTGCTTTTGATTGGTCAGCGGTGGTTTATCGCGCGGTAGGTACCAGATAATGGCAACAATTTTAAGCATGGGACAAGGACAAGCTCTCGGAGCCCCTGTTCAGGTTCAGCAGCGGTGGCGAAACAAACAAAACACCAGCAGCAAATCAAACGTTTGTGCGCGCTCCGCCCGTCCTTTACACAACGCCACGCCCTACAAGCGAGGCCCCGCGCCTCCAATGGCAGCGGCCCCGTTCCGTGCCCCCGCCATCGCCGCCGCCTCCGCCTCCGCCTCCGCCTCCCGGAACTCCTCCGTGTTGCCGCCGAACACGACTCCCCCGCGGCCGTCGCTAAACCCCTTCTGGCTGCCGCGTCTCTCTTCCGGCGCCTCCGCCACGATCTCCTCCTTCTCCTCCGTGGCGTCCGTGGCCCGCGCGACTTCGTCCGGAGGGCGCTCGGTCGCGGAAGCTCTGGCGGACGAGGAGGTCAACTCTCTCATCGAACTCCCCACAGGCCCTTCCCCGCCGTTACCGGGGTGCTCGTTGTCGATTCCGCCGCCCAAGGAGTACTCCCGCGGGACTACCACGTAGCTGGGCGCAGAAGCGGGCTGCACGACGATGGAGCCCTCTTGCGGCTGGCCGCCCTGGTCCGGCAGAACGATGGCCCCGCGGGTTGATCTCGTCGAACCTGATCGTGCGGGACCCCCACCCCCGAACGCCTGCCCCGGTGCCGCATCTGCCGTTATTGGCGTTGTCGCTTCCGCCTCCACCCCTTCTCCCGCCTCCACATCCACCGAAGCCTGCCGCGGGGCGACGGCCGACCCCACGTAGTCCATCTCGGAGTGGCCATAGGAAGCGGGGAGGGTCGGTCCCATGGCGAGCTGTACCTGTTGGTTGTGGTCATGCGGGCACACGTACAGAGCGAGTGTTGCGTCAGGGGAACAACGGATGCGACGGGGGCCCAGAGGGGTCTTTCCTTGTGGGTTGACAGCTGGCAGCACGGCAAGAGCACTTCTGACAGCACGCGCAAGAACAAAATTTCAACGAAAACTAACCTCATTATGCAGCTCCACGCCTCCAAACAAATAATTTCCCTCTCCCCCGTCCTGTCATTGGTCAACCGGCTCGCGCGGTCGAGGCTAACACTACGCACACACGGAAGCGCGTCACAACAACAGCAGACTCTCATTCCACAACTCTTCCCGCCACCCTCTTTTCCCTCTTTTCTCTCACATCTTCGTTGGTGTATGTGCGGCGGCTGCTGGAAAACCTTATCGTCGTTGGCGCCACAAGGTTGATCCCCAAGCGATTAGACACCGATCGGTAGATGCGGTCGCAGCACGTCCTTCGTGCCTCCACGTTGGCCTTGCAGTACGCACACACGGCCTTCGTCTCCAGCCAAGGGTCGATGCATTCCTGACACACACGACGCGTATTTACGAGAGAAGCGCAATGTTCGCGAGATATTTCAATACATCGCCGAGAGATGACTAGATACACACAACGCGTGCGACAGAAGCCCAATGTTCGCGCGATATTTCATTTCATTATATCGCCGAAACAAGACCACCAAGATAAACATCGAAGACACACGCACCTTATGGAACCTGTGCCCACACCCGGGGATGATTCGAAGCTCGTCCCCGGTCTCGTACTCCACCAAACAAATAGCACACATGTCTTCGGTGCTATCCCGCGCCCCCTCCCTCTCCCCGCCCTCCGCCGCCAACACAACCGCCGTCTGAGGCGCTCCCGTCCTACCGGCGGGGGCCCCGTGAAGATCCGATCCTGTGACCCCCCCCTCTTCTCCCGCCGCCGCGGCTTCCGTGCCGTCTGGCTTCTTGCCGTCGGCAGCTGGTGTTTTCTTGCCTCCCTTTTTTTGAGCCGAGCCGGAGACAGGTCTCTTGTAGCGCGTCTCGGGGAGGCGCTCGATGCTCCTCTTTGTTAGCCCCTCCTCCTGCGAGTAGCGCAGGCTGCCCGTTGGATCGTTCCGTAGGAGGCAGAGGTCCATCACCTAAAAGCGGAGAGAGGGGTGGGGGGCCGTGTGTGTGTTTGTGTGTGTGTGTGTGCATACTAGCGTCGACCACGCTAATCGGCTGACCGGTCATGGTGAACAAGCCTGAACAGAAAGGTCTTTGCTTTAGTTGTGGACAGCTCCAGCTCGCCACTATTAACAACAACACACGCTGGAAATTGCCTGAGTCTACCGCGCAACGAGCCACAAAAAAACAAATCCTTCGCAAACGCTATGCTTGCACCTTCTTCGGACCTTGCTCTCGATCCGCCGACATCATTCCGTTGCTCTTCCGGTTAGCACGGGGTCTATACGTTACTACAGAAGCGACTCCGTGTGTGTGTCTGTCTCTATCTGTCTTTATCCCCCGCACTTGCTCTCTCTCCCTCTCTCTGTTTCTGTTTGCCTACGTCGCTCTCTGCTCCTGTTTGTTTATCTCTCTGCCTCACCTTACGAACCACGCACAGCAGGATGAGCGTGAGAACACCGCACCCGACGACGATCGAGATGGTGATGAGCATCACGTCCCTCGCCTGCTCCGCCTCCGCCTCCTCCATCGCCTCGTCCGCCTCCTCACCCACATCATCACTCACGCGCACGGGATCATCATCCTCCGGAAAAACCTGTCCGCCCCCGCCTGGGTTCGTTTCTGTAGAAGAGGTCGGCACCGGCACCATCTCCATCCGCCGAGGAGAAGGAACGGGAACCCAGTCTTCGCCGCTTGCTACGCGGGAGGTTGAGCCCTCTTCGGTAACGGTATCAGCGGCGGTGGCGGCGGCGTTGGCCCCGTCCGGGGTAGCTCTGCAACATCAGAACATGTTCCAGTTACACGCAAGACAAGAAGGAAGAAAAGGTATATTTACAAAGCGCATGAAAGAACGAAAAGATGAAAAGTCGTGGGCGGCTGAATGTTATCTCTCTCCGCATGTACATGATGCAGAGAGGCGATTGAAGGGTAGTACGACCGTACGTGCCCACCGTGTAGTTTCGCATCACCGCGTCAGGCAAGCGTGTAGCCAATAGAAAACCAACTCGTCCCCACCCCGCATGTCTGCGCATACATTTTGTATGAAGCAGTGCAAATTGAGCTGATTTTCCCTACAAGTCGTGTTTGTTTTTCCATGCAGTAGCCTGAGACATGCGCAAGCCTTGCCTATTGTTGGGGGAAAAAACAAGGATTGTTGCAAACACAAAAAACGACAGCTCGAGCCGGCGAAAACGTTAGACAATTCCCAAGGGGTGAACACCAAGCTGCTTTCTCGTCAGCTTAAGTCAGTGCGTGTGTTGGTGTGGACGGGGGGGTGCTGGTAAGAGCCCGGCTGCCGCTGAGAATTACCCAAGCACACAAATACAGGCACGCGCGCGCGCCATACACAGCAGTTCGCGCACATGCGTGTGCAGCAGAGTTCACGATTTTCTCCAGGGGAAAATACAATCTAGTGGGGTAGAGAAAGCGCCTACGACCTGATTCTCACACAGCTGTTTCACTCATCAGTGTATGCGGCTCTGTGGTGGGGTCCACTCCCGATCTTCATGTTCGCTGCTGCCCTGTGTATCATCATTGGGCAACATGCTGGCCATGCTGCAACGCCCAAAGATTTGGCCGTGGTGTACCAAGTTTGATTGATAACTGGTTTGCCCTCTGGTATCAATGTAGGGAGGGGAGGAGACAACTACAACCCGGGCTCGGAACACTTGTCAAGCTTAACCTACGCATACGTTGATGCACGGATGGTTATGCAAGTGTTGCTCGTTCTAACGGCGACGCAACCTCATCGTCGGGGTCGTTTACCCGTCCTACAATTAGTTGCCGCACGGGATAACACCCCATGTTCCTCCGTAAACTGCGGCCTGCTATGTACGTGTACCTGGTGTTGACGTCTTGGTCTCTTTCATACAAGTATTGCAGCTAGCCTACCATTCGAGGCAAGTGTCAGAAAGGGGTGAGTTCAAGCCCTTTACACATGAGTGCTAATGATGGTTGACGGTCCCCTCTTCCCTTGTTCCTGTCCAAACACGAAATAATCGTTCCATCCCTGCTCATTACCTTCAACATCTTCACGGGTCCAACTCATGCCAACACCTCCCATTGTGCCCAACGGCATTTCTCGCCCCCCTTCATGTATATGTACTACTTGGCCTGTTTTCGTGCGTAGGGACATATTTCGCTGGCAGAGGAGAATGTTTGCTCACGCTTCCGTCTCAGGGGCACGAAGGGGGGTCATCGGCACATTACCGCGCACGCCGGGGACCGCCAGCCACCCGTGGCGCTTTTGCAATCGGGGCCCGCGACATCAGATGTGCTTGCCGAACGAGGACAGCAGTCATTTTGCTTCTTGTTTTTCCGTCTGATCTATCCTGGCGCCAATCTACACCTGCTGTAAAAAACCAGTTACCAGTTATAGCGCCCGCACTCAAGATCTTTGTGTGCGTATTCTACGATAAGGTCGTGGTCCCGGCATAGCAGTCCAAATAAATGTTTTAACCGCTATTGAGGGCATCGCTGCTAAACCGGATCGGCAGTTTCATGGTGTTTGACTGCAGAGGTGCCACGACATGTTGGGACCCCTATTCAGGGCATCCCGCTAAACAGGGAACCGCTACACCGGGACAACGGCTGTAGTAAAGATCGAGCCTCGAAAACCTCAATACAACTTGGGCACCAAAGAACCCCTACACTGAAACCTGTATAGCGGTCATCGGTAGCATAACCCTGGGAACGAAGAACCCCATAGCATGGGCCAAACCTAGAGGTCCATTGAGTGCGGGCGCCTACGCTGTCGATTAGACGTACGCACGTGTCTGTCAGTCGGGGGGTCACACGCCAGTTCCTCACACGGTGCATCGGCTGGAGCAAGCGGAAACGCTCCGACCGCCCCCTGTCCTATGCCCAGGCCCTCATCCAGGCAGGCTGCGAGGAAACCATCGAGGCCACCGTGCGCAAACGGAGACTGTGTTTCGCGGGCTTCGTTATGCGCATGGAGGACAACCGCCTCCCCAAGCGCATGCTGTTAGGAGCAATGGCGGGGGGCGTGGGATACCGGGGCGGGCAGGAGAGCGACTGGGTGTCTCGTCTAGGAGAGGACCTCGTGGCCTTCAACATGGGAGACGAAAAGGAAGGGGGGAAATGGAAAGAGAGCGCCAAGAACTCGGAGGTGTGGTACAACAAGGTCGAGGACGGGGCGGCATGGTTCATGAGGAAATGGCACAGGCAGGAGGCGGAAGCGTCCGCGAAGCGCCAGCGCGCGCGGGAAGCAGAAGCAGAGAGTACGACCATCTCAGGACCGAAGAGAAAGAGAACCGGCGAAGCGGCGGTGGGGGGGAAGAAACGGCGAACGGGCACTGCTGTAGAAGCGAGTAGGGCGGCCGAGGCAACGCTTGTGGCGAACTATGCACCCGGCTGATGTTGTTGCGCCCGGTTTCCCTCCCTGCCGTATGCTATACTCCTTTATGTATGT